GAAATTTAAATATTTGGGACGTGTTCTAACAGAGAAAGGAAAGTGCAACCCTGAAGACGCATTAGAATGGCCAAAGATGCATTACTAAAGCCAAGCAAGGTATTAAGAAATATGAAAATTACATTGGAAACAAAGAAAAGAGTACTGAGATGTTACCTGATATCAGCCCTGCTATATGACAGCGAATGCTGGAAAACCTTCGCAAAGATAAAAAAGAGATTGAAGTAACAAAAATGTGGTTCTACAGAAAGATACTGAGGATACCATAGACTGAACATGTGAGCAATGACAAGGTTTTAAAGAGAACGGAAACAAAAAGGAAACTTATAATTGATATCAGGAAGAGTTAGATGAAATTCTGGAATTAGTAATGAAGAAAGAGGGTTTGGAAAATCGGATACTAATAGGAGAGATAGAGTGATAAATTTAACGAATCAGCGCATATGCTATGCCACAAAAATCTCCTGAGCCGAGCAAGTATAGAAATAAATACAATATGGGAACCAGTAATAAGGAGTGCCAGAGAAAAGCAATGATGACAACAAAGTTGCAATATCAGCTCTGGTAAAATCATGGAATAATAACAACAAAATCGCAATATGAGCGTTGGTAAAAATGGTTGCTGAAGACATTAGGTTTATAATACCCAGAAATTCATACCCACATGTCCTCAAGGATAAAGGCGTTGGTTAGATCCAGTGACAGGACCCAAAGAGTGTGAGTTCAATACCCGGTTAAGGCGGTGGACTTTCAGAGGGAAAATTACAGGAGATAACTGACAACAGACGTCCAACAGGCTACCCCAGTGAGCGAAATAAATGTTCTGTTCGACATTCCAACCGCCTGAAGAAGGCCGGGGCGTACAACGGCCGAAACGTTGTGATAAATCTGGCGACAAACATGAGGACAAATAGTCCGAATAATGTACATAATACCTCATCTCAGAAATATAGACAGACTACATTTATAATTCCAAGTATTGATAGTATTGTGGGCTGCTGGATCATATAATTTAAATTGTGTGTACATACATGTTTCATTAAATAATATATACAAGTTTTGTCTATTTATTTTATGTAAATTCTTTACATAACGTCTGATAAGCTTAATAACATTATCATTAAACGAAGAAAGAAAATTACAATATTAATACATATTTTTTAATCCAATCTAAGTTTTTATCAAAGATGACAATTCTGTACAATATATTAATTTTTTCCTTGTGTGTATATATATATATATATATATATATATATATATATATATATATATATATGTTAATATTAGTGGAAAATATATACATACATATGCAAATTTGCATATATATATATTTTTTTATATATATATATATATATATATATATATATATATATATATATATATATATATATATATATATATATATATATATATATATATATATATATATATATATATATATATATATATATATATATTACTCGGACTATCATCCTCATCTTGTCCTGGCACAGTGGATAAAGGCGTTACTTAGATCCAGTGATAGGACCCAAAGAATGTGTGTTCAATACCTGATTAAGGCGGTGGAGAATTTGGAGAGTGGAATTAACAGAAGATAAGTGATAACTGACATCCATTAGACATGGCACGTGGAACTAGAACAGTTTACCTCAGCGAGAGAAATAAAGGGTTCAGTTTGATATTCTAACCACCTGAAGAAAGCCAGAGGGTACAACGGTCGAAACGCTGTGATAAATATGGCAACAGATGACAGTCCGAGCAATAGAAATAGTATACATAATACCTCATCTCAAAAATATAGACAGATATATATATTTATATATGTGTGTGTGTGTGTGTGTGTGTGTGTGTGTGTGTGTGTGTGTGTGTGTGTGTGTATTGGTGGGGCGAGGTTAATTGAAATGTCTTTTACCCATCCTTATATGTGCTTAAGAGACTTCAAGAACGTAAGACCTCGGATTTCTGGTTCAAAAATTTCTTTGGATCCAGAAATGTCATAATTGCTAATTTTTCCTCTTGGTAGAGATTGAAAATATTGTTGTGGCTATTGTAAAACTTTGCCTTTTTAAAAATTTTACAGCTTACAATCCCCGTTGTTTTTCTTTTAAATTACACACATGGTCAGCTAATTTGGTAGAGTTCTTAAGGTTTACTAGCTTGAATGATAACCTATGATTTTACCATCTACATTTCAAAGTGCCCTCAGTACATCCAAAATACGTTTTATTTTGGCCATTAATATCTGTTAATTCTGCTTTATAGATTATTGCTTCGGTTTTACAAGATCCATCTAATGGACATCTATTTTTATTTCTACAGTTGCATATTAAGTATATTTTATTGTACGTTAGTTTTGAGATTTCTGGAGTTTTGTCTATTTATTATGGTTTCTAAATTACAAGTGCATCTGTAGCTTAATTTAACTTTGTTTTTATTGAATATCTTATGTAATTCTGAATTTTTGGGATGGGTTTAGTAAGTAACTGTTTTACATTTTACCTCTAAGTTTAAAGGGGGGGTTAAACCAAATGATATTTTTTCTCTTCCTCAAATTGTTCTTCATATATTGTTTAATTTGAGGTTTAAATTCTACCTTGGTTTTGTGACACTCTATCTTTAAGTTATTCACATATTCTTTGTTTTTAACCTCAAAAAATATTTTACTTGAAGAGTTTCTGGATAAACTAGATTCTATTTCCTTAGGAATGAGATGGCTTTTGAAGAATTGGAAGTAATAATGTATTTGCACTTATCAGGTTTGGCGCTATCATCAGAACGTCATCCCTATACAGACGCTAGTTTTTTATATGTATAATTTTGTTAATTTCATATAATATATTTAGACCTATTAACGCCCTTCTGCCTTCTTCACATCCCCCTCCTCCCTTTCTATTACACACAACGTCGTGCGTTTGTTTATTTATTTAAAAAATAATATAGCGTTCATTAGCTTTTTAAAAAAATAAAGCGTTAAGAGGTCATTTGATAAAAATCGCCTGAGGAGAGCGTGAGGTTGAAACAAAGGTAGCAGATTCAACTGGCCTCCTAATTTTTAAAGTTAAAAGCTCAGCATGTTATTTTTAATTTAATTTTATTTTTTTCACACGTATATTGAGCACTTTTTAATACTACTGTTTCCTTGTCTGATTCAACTCTGACCATTAACGTTTTATATATATATATATATATATATATATATATATATATATATATATATATATATATATGCACGTAATTATTTTGTGCAAATATGTACTTAGGTTGCTCAGTAAAAATCAGTATCCCCAACTTTTTCTCTCTATTTGGTCTTTTGTAGTCGGCTCTGATGGAGCTTTTCGTTACCCAGCATTGATACACAACTAACATCTATGCATTTATCTACACTGCCATATTTCCGGTTGTTCTGGTATATCCCTATAATTGAATTTGGTTATTTTTTTCCCTCTTTTACTGTTTAGGAAAAACCTTTCAGCTTTTTCCTTTCTTTTTCTTTTCTTTTGATCTATGTTTATATATCTGACGCGAAGAACAAACAGCATTAAGGTTTTTGTGCGCATGCGTTAATATCAAAGTAGCTTTTGTATGCACGTACATAACATTGTTTAGATTTTGCTTTAAACTTCATGGTGTTAATAATTCCGAGAATTTGCAACTCTGCTTTGAGACGAGCAGATAAATAGAAATACATAAAGTATATATTTCCGTGAATTGCGTGTTTCTTTTAGCCATTTTGTTTTGCTTTTTGCCGGTATGTCGTTTCATGTTTCCACACCACTAGCATCTATCTTTTCTTTGAGCGTTTTGTTTTGTTATAAAGCGCTTACTGCTTTGAACTGTTGTAAAATTTCCATGTGTACCGTTGTCACTTTGAATGCATTGAATATTTTCTTCTTGCCTGGCTGGAGTATTAGAGATTTGATCGAGAGGTCATAAAAATCTCCTAAAGGACGTTTCAATAAACTCACATTTAGAGCTGATTTGCATTGAAAGTAAAGTCAGTTCTTACTCCTAAGTATTTAATATATACACAGTATTTAGTTTGTCACCTGTTGCTGGAATTATCATTTTTTAAAACTCTTATTAAACACCGTAGAATCTTTTGGGTATAATTATTAAAACTATATATATATATATATATATATATATATATATATATATATATATATATATATATAAGCAAGTGTAAATGGATATATATATATATATTGCCATATTCACAATGTTTAAGCCATTGTACACTCTGGCCTTCTTCAGGTTATTGGAATTTCGAACCAAACCCTGTATTTCGTCCACAGCAATGGAGAACCAAAAACTTGGGAGAGTTGAGTTAAAGGGAAATAACTGAGGAATCTGGAAGAGGCATGTCATGTGGAACTAGAACAATCTACACCAGTGGATCAAATAAAGGGTTCGGTTCAAAATTCCAATCTCCTGAAGATGGCTGGAGCATACAACGGCCAAAATGTTGTGAATATGGCAATGAAGATGAGGATAACAGTCCGAATGATGTAAAAAGTAATCAACTCATTTCATGACTATATTAGCAACATTTTTAAAAAAAATTTTCTGAAGTGCTTCATGATTGGGCTGAAAACTTTTCAACACCTCCATTATACAAGCAGATATTGCGAGCATCGTGGGTATGACGACAAACTACATCTCCATCCAGGGTAAGACGATAAATTACTTCGAACAGCAAGTCCTCTGATCAGGAGGTTTTGAGGAGCGTGGAACCACCTCTTAATTACTGGTGTTCCCAGGTCCACCCTGACCCGGGGTGGTAGCAAAACTACGTGGCCAACCAACTTGAAAGTCATGACTGATATACCACACTTCCCTCACTTTAAGATTATAGTAGGACAATTATAAAAAAAACCGGTTGGAAGTGAAATAGAAACGGCCAATTCGTGCAAACAGGCATACAACGAATTGATAAAACCAAACAAGTTTTGCTGTATGATAATTATAACATTATTTTCAGGTAATCTGTAGGCGTTAAAATGTTGTCTGTTAGCGCTGACGATACGATAAAAAAATGGATGAATGTCGTGATAAAATCAGAAGCAAGAGAGAAGAAAATAAAGAGAAGCAGATCGCTACACCCACTACGCAGCTTCTGTAAGCAATTTTCATTGGATGCGTGATCGTGTAACTTTGCCTCTAATTTTAAGTACAGAAATAAACATGACATACAGATTAGAATTTTGCGCTGGATTCAACATACAAAATGTGTTCAAAAGTAGCGAAATAGAAAATATATGTTGCGCCAAACATACAAATGGGGAGGGCCTATTTATTTTGAATAACTCCTTACTTTAGCTCGGATATTAGTGATTAATGTTTTTGGTTTCAAATTATATAACTAAGAGCACCCTCCTCCAAAATATTTTATTAACAGGTCTACATGACCGCAATGTTGTAGTTGACATCAGTGTAAAATTCCAAACGAAATAAATGTTTAAATAATTAAATTTGTAAGTAAAATTAGAACGAATTCTGACTAAAATAACATCTTAATTGAAGATTCTAAATAAATAAAAATCTAAATAAAATAAAATTCTAAGTTAAATTAAATAAAATTCAAAATAAAAATTTTAATTGAAAATTCTAAATTAATAAAATTCTAAATAAAATAAAATTCTAAGTTAAATTAAATAAAATTCTAAATAAAATTTTAATTGAAGATTCTAAATTAATAAAATTCTAAATAAAATAAAATTCTAAGTTAAATTAAATAAAATTCTAAATAAAAATTTTAATTGAAGATTCTAAATTAATAAAATTCTAAATAAAATAAAATTCTAAGTTAAATTAAATAAAATTCTAAATAAAAATTTAATTGAAGATTCTAAATTAATAAAATTCTAAATAAAATAAAATTCTAAGTTAAATTAAATAAAATTCTAAATAAAAATTTTAATTGAAGATTCTAAATTAATAAAATTCTAAATAAAATAAAATTCTAAATAAAAAATAAAATTCTAAATAAAAATAAATTAAATTAAAAAATTCAAAATAAAATAAAATTTAATTAAATTAAATAAAATTAAAATAAAAATTTTAAAATTCTAAATTAAAAAATTCTAAATAAAATAAAATTCTAGTTAAATTAAATAAAATTCTAAATAAAAATTTTAATTGAAGATTCTAAATTAATAAAATTCTAAATAAAATAAAATTCTAAGTCAAATTAAATAAAATTCTAAATAAAACAAAATTTTAATTGAAGATTCTAAATTAATAAAATTCTGAAAGAAATTGAATTCTAAGTCAAATTAAATAAAATTATACATAAAATAAAATTCTAAATAAATAAAATTCTAAAAGAAATAAAATTATAAATTATAAAAAATTCTAAATAAAATAAAGCTGAAAAGTAATATTTTATGTACAATCCATTTCCTCTCTGACAGCTTTTTCCTAATCATCTCTCGTTTCTTGAACAGACTCCATATTTCCGTGAACGCTACAATCTTACCCTTTTCTAGTCAAGGATCAATCGTTATCTATCCTCCTTATCAAAATTTACACTATTTACATGCGAACTATTCATCTTTGTTGTTGTTATGACAACGTTTCAGCCGTTTTGCCCTCCCCCCTTCTTCAGATGTATATCGATCTGGGTAACCTACAGGGAATTCTGATTTGAAACCTTTAGTGAATCTACGGCTGTAGACTGTTCACGTTCCACTGCCCATATCTCGGGATATCTCGTCCAAGGTTCAGTTCGGAATTCTCCGTAGGTTACACCGATCGATATAGACTTGATGAAGGCTAAGTGTACGACGACCGAAAAGCTGTGAAAAAAAAAAAAAAAATTCAAAACTACCTCATATGGGTGGATAGATCTATTTCAACCGACAAAAACTATGTCAGTCTTATTCAAGCCCAGAGTAGAGAATGAGTTTGTGTAGGAATTAGAAATTTTACTTTGACAGCCATCGAAAAATTAATACAGAATTTATCGATTTCGGTGTTTCAATCAGTCGAAATGTCCAAGACGGTGTTTAAGGGAAGGTGGAAGCCTTAAAGATTTTATAAAATTAAACCCGGATATTAACCTTATGACCTTAAATTGGGGTTAGATGAAGAATGAGATGCTAATTTGAAACTAAAAGGTGACCGAAAAAAGAGTTTTATATATATAAAAAAAAAACACTGATATGTAAAAACTTAGGCTCCCACTTAAAAATACTTTCCCAAAAATAAATTATACTTAAAAATAAGATATTTTTAAAAGATTAAAAATAAGTAATATTTAGATAATCTATGTTAAATTTAAGTAAGAATATATTTTAAATATTTACATTATTCGGACTATTGTCCTCATCTTTGTCGCCATATTTATTACAACGTTTCGGCTGTCGTACGCTCTGGCCTTCTTCAGATGGTTGTAATGTCGAACTGAAGCTTTTATTTCGCTCACTGGGGTAGACTGTTCTAGTTCCACGTGCCATGTTTAATGGATGTCAGTTATCAGTTATCTCTTGTTAATTTCCGTAATTGTTAATTATATATATATATATATATATATATATATATATACACATGTATGTGTGTGCAAAATGTGTATGAATATATATATATATATATATACAATTTATATATATATTATTTATATATTATATATGCGCGGTACTTATTGAAAAGCGTTCAATATCAGGAATAGAGCTAACATATTTAGTTTGACTGATGTGAGCTTGTGAGGCTATTTGCAATCGTCAGACAAACTGACGATCGCAAATAGCGTGAAACCAAGGGTTACAGACTCACATCAATCCAACTATATATATATATATATATATATATATATATATATATATATATATATATATATAAAACCAACATTGAAATCAACATTCAAAGTCGACAGGCTGTTTCATGCTAGACACAGTCATCAGACCGTCTGATGATTGCGTCTAGCATGAAACAGCCTGTCGCCTCTGAGTGTTGACTTCAATGTTCACTTTTATATTTATATTTACATACGCTCTATCTCTGATATTGAACACTTTATTCCATAAATATAGCACACCTAAAAACTATATTTCTTCATATATATATGTAAACTCAAATATTTGTTACATTCTTGGTTCTACCGTCTATTCTCAAAAAGCATGTATGCTCTTAAACAGTCTACATCAGTGAAGTCTGGCTCTGGTATTATCAGTAAGTCTAACTGTAGTAATTCCATGATGCATTTTGTGCGCAATGTTTTATATTTTATTCAGGATTCAGAGTTGCGAAATAAGAAAGCAAATAAAAAGTATTTATTCCGGCTGCTGTGGAGAAGAGATTATTTTTTTTATTCGTCTCGAAAATACATATGCACATAATCAACGAATAACGAGGATCTATCCAAACTCAGTTCAGCTGTCAAAAATATGCTCACACTTTATGCTTTTTTTTTGTAAATGTTTCATGCTTTTTGTGAAACGTCTTAGATTTATTTTGCGAGACCCAGAATAAACTTGAAGAAGAAGCCACCGGTGATATGGTTATTATATTCTGAGATTATTTTTTTTTCTTTTAAACTCATTTTTACTTTTTTTTTGGTTCTTACTTTTTTCTTCTTTTTATGTGCCGTGTCCCTTCAGGACGTGGGAGATCATGGCTCTCCACGTCCTCCTATCGCTTGTAGCTCTCATTAAGTTTTGTCCCTTTGCTACTTCTCCCAGACCCTGTTCTGTCATCCACTTGCTTAAGCTCGTTTTTGTTCTTTTCTTCTTTCTTTCTGTCTGTGTTTCCTTCTTTCTTTCTTTCATTCTCTTTTTTCTTTCTTTGATCACGCTTGTTTGAATTCTTTCTTTCTTTCTTTCTTTGATCACGCTTGCTTCTTTTCATTCTTCTTTTATTTTTATTTTCCTTCTTTCTTTTCTCAATTTTTCTTTCTTTCTTTCACCATGCATGTTTGCTTTCTGTCTTTCGCTCTTCCTTTCCTTTCCTTTTCTTTCGTTCTTTTTCTTTCTTTCTTTCTTTCTTTTCTTGTTTCTTTCTTTTTCCTTCAGTTTTTTATTCTTTTTTTTCTCATCATGCTTACTTATTTTTTCTCATCCTCCTCTGCTTTCCCCTTTGCTTTTCACTTTCTTTCTTTCTTTCTTTCTTTCTTTCTTTCTTTCTTTCTTTCTTTCTTTCTTTCTTTTCCCTCCTTATTTATTGCTTGTTTTCCTTTCTGTCTTGCATTTCTTTCATTTTTCTTCTTTCTTCTTCCAACGGAACCATGAAAGTTATATCTGAGTTTAATATGTATTCCTCTCACGATCAAAGTTGAAATGAAACTCATCAAAATATTTTTTTTTATCTCAGTTGAAAAAAGAAGCTAAACTCATTTTTCTTTTGATTCAGGAATTTATTTTTCTCTTTATCGAGATTCTAAAAAGCTTCCGTCCTCTATACACACACACACACACACGCACACACACACACACACACACATACACACACACACATATATATATACACACACACACACACACACACACACACACACATATATATATATATATATATATATATATATATGCTTCATTAAAGACGACAGACAAGGTACTGAGATTAAGTATTTTGTTTACACACTGTGTTCAGAAAAGAAAACACTTGTTCGGACACAAGAAAAATGAAATAAAAACCTTAATTGCAGTAACTTGTCTGTCGTCTTGAAACATGTATAAATGAAGGATTACAGCCTAAATACACAATATATATATATATATATATATATATATATATATAAATATATATATATATATATATATATATATATATATATATATATATATATATATATATATATATATATATATATATCGTGTTTTTTATGTCCATCGTCTTTTGTGTTAAATTTTTATATGTTCTAATGTTAATTATTTTTAAATGAAAATGTCCATGAAGATGGTCTTAAATAGACCGAAACGTCCGACGTCGACTTTATATTAACATTAATACAGCATAATTGCATATTAAGATTTTTTTTTTTCTGTATATTTTTCTTCATATATATATATATATATATATATGTAGCTATACAAACACGAACAACCTGAACAGAATTTTAAAAAAGGTCAGGCCCTATACAAAACAACTTTGCCGCGTCTTTTTAAGTTTAGATTTAACCGTTACTTTCCTATCGTATCCTCATAAAATGCCTCTTAATGTAACTTTCTACCTTGAGTGTCTGCCGTGGCTTGTACAGTGCGAACCTTATTAAAAAAAAAAGGAAGAAATACATTGCAAGTCACTTGCAAGTTTAAGGAGTCATTGTCATTCTTACGAGAAAGCCTGGATCAAACTTATCAGTGATGGTCATACTCATCGAATGAATCGATGGATCTCATGTATGCATTAATGTGAAATATGTCATATAATGCGCATGCTTTTTCTATGAATGCTTGACTTCAATCCATTTGATCTTATCCTTCACTAAAGTATATAACTTATTGATTATAAGGGAAATATCATCGATCTACGGTGAAGTTATGCTGAAGTAAATATTTCTCGTCTCGCCATCAAAATTAAACCTCATCAAAAATGGTAAATCTTTTGCAGGGTAACACGTTTGGAAAATATTCTGATGGGCCAGTTTACCTCTTCTTCCAATGCCAGCGATCCAAATGACCTATATAAGGAGACTAAACAATCAAAGACAGATCATCGATTGATGCCGTATCGATTTCTATGTCTAGACAATCAATATCTGCAGACAAATCTAAGAAAAGTAAAATTTTGTATTATTATGAAGAGGAAAGGTCAAGAATTTTTATGTACAAATTTATTTTTTAAATCGTTTTTTTGTTACCTTCTAAATTTTGATTAAAAATCTTAATGGGGGCATAAATTAGTACGGGAAATCCGAGCGTCGTTTTGCTGTCAGAAACACATTGATATGGAAATTATTAAAAAATTCAAATCATTGTCGGATTTTAAAGCAAACCTTAGAACTATGTTTTAAATGATTGTTTGTTTTTTTTTTAAATTTTGGCATTTTGTTTACATCTGTTACATAATTAATTTACATATGTTACATAATTAATTTACATATGTTACATAATTAATTTACATCTGTTACATAATTAATTTCATGAAATTTCGAGAAATTGTTTTATGTAGCGCTTAATGCTTTTATTAGTTACTAGCAGCATGGCCCGGCGTTGTCCGTGCTTGATTCAAAAATCGTACGACTCATACAGCAATCACTATCACTTGACTTAAAATATTTTTGCCCTTCCTTGCCTTTAAAGGAGTGCCCTTTGCCGTGCTGATGTTGCTACATGCCTTACTTCTTGACTATCTCACACTGCGAAGTTTTTTCTAAGCTCTATACTAAACATTAAATCTGTTACGAAAAAAGAACTAAACAAAATGAACACAAAACGATCAGCTTTAAAAAAGGACTCGTAACTGGAAAAACCGAATGAAAAAAGAAAGTTAACAACAAATACTTTTTCACACCCAATCCAATTCTGCGGAATCAGAATCAACGTTGATTTTAAGCAATCGAATGAGTCAATTGGAGTAAAGTGCCATGCAGATTTAAATTTTTCCCACTTGTGACTAATGCAGCTATCGATTTTTTTTGCATGCTAGCATGCTAGTTAACATTTGTGTCAGTCAGCTGTTGGCTCTCACGCTGGCCAATAGAATCTTCCTGTCTATTCGTGGCAGCCAGCTATAGGCTCTCACTCTGGCCAGTAGAAAATGGCCGCAAACAGCATGAAAACTGCCGTAGAATCATGAAAAATCGATTATTTCCATTATCGATGGGAGTTGGGAAATGCAAGGTCGGTCTTGGCCTTTCCACTAACTTGGAGCATGTGCATGTAAATTTTGGTGCAAATCCGTCGAAAATTGCGGCCGTGCATTCGTCACACACACACACACACACACACACACACACACACACACACACACACACACACATCCTGCCTTTTATAGATAGAGATAAGGACAAGACTTCCAAGAATTTAAATCTTCCGCGTGCTGCAAAATATTTTGGGTGATTAAATTGATGCTATAATACCTGCTCATGTCTGAAAATTTTCACGCTGGTAGGAAGCGTTTATTCCCGACTGACACGTCCACAGTACAAATTGTTGAATTTTCGTTTTCACGCAAGATGACCGAACACATCAAGCAGAAGTATTGCATCAAGTTTTCACGAGGTTTGCATTAAACTCGTCTCATCGGCCTGGTATTTTCTTTCTCGTGTATTTTTCCTTCCTACGCGAATTCATTTAGAGGTAATATAGGACAAATTATTTTTTCTCGGCTAGATTCTCGTTGCCTTTCATATTTTAGTTGGAGACAATTATAGAAGGGTTAAATAAAATGTTTCTTTGTTGGCTAAGAGAGTTGACTAGTTTATTTGCCCATTTTAATAGCGCACTATCATTTTGTCACGTTTACCGTATTTGGTGAACTATGTGGAAATCTTTGCCAGTTTCACTCTTTCTACTATTTAATGTATATTTTAGTGCTGATCTTCGGAGTTATAGTGAATATTTCTGTCTCTATCTCTGCTATCACGTATTATGATTACTTGCATTATTTACATTATTCGGACTGTTATCTTCATCTTCATTGCCATATTCACAACGTTTCGGTCGTTATACACTCTGGCCCTCATCAGGTGATTGGAATTGTTCTTCAGTATCTGTCTATATCTCTGAAATGAAGAAGGCCAGAGCGTACAACAGCCTAAACGTTGTGAGTATGGCTTTGAAGATGAGGATAACAGTCCGAATAATGTAAATAATGAAAGTAATCATAATATCATAATAGTTGTCCTACGACTAATGAACAGTCCAAGGAAGCGTACGAAAATTGTAACGCTTCCCGAACACACTGGCAAACCTTACCAATGAGCAAATCAAAGTACTATCGACTGGCTCAGAAACTGGCAAACCTTACCAATGAGCAAATCAAAGTACTATCGACTGGCTCAGAAACTGGCAAACCTTACCAATGAGAAAATCAAAGTACTATCGACTGGCTCAGAAACTGGCAAACCTTACCAATGAGAAAATCAAAGTACTATCGACTGGCTCAGAAACTCTTCTGATTTAAATCCATTCGAGAATCAGTGGTCAATCTGCAAGGAACGACTTTTTGGAATGGACATACGAAATACTAACATGTGCACTGAGTCATGTTTTATTGGAAAAATGCGGAAAAAAATGCAAATAATAACGTTTTGATTCAATTAATTTGCACAAGGGTGTATAATATCATAACATAATAATATTCTTTCTTAAATCGCTAAAGTTATATGAAGAAATGAATTTAAAAGATTAAGTTTAGGTTCTAAATCGTAGCGTTGGAATTTCATTCCGGCAATTAGTTAAAGCCTTATAGCACGGCCTTATGTAATTCATAATTTACTGAAGCTTTACATATTGTATATGGAAACGATGCAAGACACAAGCACGTTCATAACATTTTACCCTCAAATACGATCTTCATTTACTTTAAAGGGAAATTATAGTGGAAGATTTAACTATATTATGATGTAATATGTTATACAGTTTTGTAGTGTTAGTGTGATTTTCAATAAACAATGCAAACTGAAAACATTTTGTCTTGCCCAGCAGTATTATAGTGTTATATACACTTTTATCTAATTTTTAGTTTTAGTAATTATAATCTAACAAATGATTTAGCCAATCTTATTCAAAGTCGCCTTTTTGGAATCTTTTACATTTTGTAATTCAGTTTTTACTCATTGAATACAGTAAACAAATTGCATATTTTGCTTGTAGTGATTCATAATTTGAATTCTGGTTTAAAGATATTTTCCATTCAATATATCTAATGCAAAAGATATTAACTTTATTTGGATTTATTCTTGAAATAATAGAATTTCGAAGTCAGTTTGCAAGCAAAAACCTGCAGAAATTAGATATTTTTGTACATTTTTCTTAGGTAATTCTATATGGTTTTTCATACGAATTTTAAAAATCAATGATCAACGATTGATAAAAGCTACGAATGTAATTTTTAGTGTCTGTACTTATCACAAGAAACCCTGCATCGAGTGCAATGATGATTTTCTAAAAGGAGTGAAAAATCGGCCTGCCCTATCACTCAATCCTAGATATCTGTTTTGGTTTCTTAACGTTTATTTCCCAAATATATTTATGATTTAATGAATTGTTACTCTTAGGTTAATATTCTACAAGTCTAGATTGGTGAAAATCAGTGAAGAAATATTGTGTGGTCTTAATCTTTG